AGCCCATGGTGTTGGAGATAGAGTATTAACATGGATAAAGAATTGACAGAGTTGGGATATGATGGGCATTTTCAGGAAGGCAGCATGTTAACTAATGGTGTGCCACAGGAATCATGACTGGAGCCACAATTACTTACACAATATATTAATGACTTGGATGAGGAAAGTGAATGTACTATAGCCAAGTTTGCAGATGGCACAAAAAGAGATCGGAAGGCAACTGATGAGAACAACACAAAGAGTCTGCAGAGAGATATAGACAGGTTAAGCAAGTAGGCAAATACTTGACAGATGGAAGATAATGTGGGGAAATATTATGTATGCACTTTGGCCTGAGGAAGAGAGGAGCTGAATATTATTTAAATGGAGAAAGACTGCAGAAAGCTACAGTACAGAGGGATTTGAGAGTCCTTGTGCATAAGTCACAAAAAGCTAGCATCCAACTTCAGCAAATAAGGAAGGCTAATGAAATGTTAGCCTTTATTTGAAAGGGAATGGAGTATAAAAAGAAGGAAATCTTGCTAAGACTATATAAAGCACTAGTCAAACTACAGCAGTAATACTGTGAACAGTTTTGGGCCCCTTATCTCAGGAATTATATACAGTCACTTCTGATATAATGCATGTTTCTTCAACACAGATTGGCCGTAACGTGATTGAAGAAAAGGAGAATGCTATTTGTAAAACACAAACTTTCCCTACATGTGTTGCTATAACATGATTTCGTCCCATCACTTTAAGCGTCACAGTTATTGCACAATTTTCTATAGTGTGAGGTCGAGCGAGAAATCAACTATCCCATTATATCAAAACCGACTGTACTAGCATTACAGGCAGTCCAGAGAAGGCTTACTAGGCTGATTCTGGGTACGCAGGGATTGGTTTATGAGGAGAGGTTAAGTAGGCTGGGCCTGTATTCATTGGAATTTAAAAGAATGAGAGGCTACCTTATTGAAACATACAAGATTCTTCAGGGACTTGACATGGTAGATGCGGAATGTTTATTTCCCCTTTCTGGGGCCAGACAGCATAATTTAACAATAAGGGGTTGCCCTTTTAAGACAGAAATGACGAGGAATTCCTTTCCCTAGCAGGTAGTGAATCTGAGGAAATCTTTACAGCAGAGGGCTATAGAAGCTGGCTCATTGGTAGGAATGTGGAGTTGAGGGTTATCAGATCAGGCATGACTTCACTTGAAAGGCCTGCTTCTGCTCTTGCACCTTATTGACTAAATGTCCAATGGTTGTTGATGATACTATATAAATACAAGTGTTCCTTTTCACTCTATTGGCTTCCCTTTACTATTTACATCCTCAAACATCTTTAATAGGGTCATACAGTCATAGAGTTGTACAACATGGAAACAGACCCTTCAGACCAACTTGTCCATGCTGGCCAGATATCCTAAATTAATCTAGTCCCATTTGCAAACATTTGGCCCATATCCCTCTAAACTCTTCCCATTCATATACCCATCCTGATCCCTTTTAAGTGTTGTAATTAAACCAGCCTCCACCACTTCCTCTAGCAGTTCATTCCATACACGCACCACCCTCTGCGTGAAAACATTGCCCCTTCGATCCCTTTTAAATCTTTCCCCTCTCACTTTAAACCTGTGCCCTCTAGTTTTGGACTCCCCACTCCTGGGAAAATGACCTTGGCTATTCATCCTATCTATGCCCTTTTCTAAACTTCTTCAAGTCACCCCTCAGCGTCCGATGCTCCAGGCAAAATAGTCCCAGCCTATTCAGCCTTTCCCTATATCGCAAAGCCTCAAACCCTGGCAACATCCTTGTAAATCTTTTCTGCAGCCTTTCTAGTTTAACAACATCTTTCCTATAGCAGTGAGAACCAGAAGTGAACGCAGTATTGCAAAAGGAATTTGTCAAATCATTTGCCTTCTATGAAATTTGTTCATGCTAGTTATACATTTTTTAAAACTGCATTGCTAAGACTAATAAATAGATTCCAGTATTTTCCTAACGCCTGATGTCTGGCTAATTTCCCTGAAACTCAATGTTTTCTTTCTTTCACTTTTCTTGAGTAGCATTTTTATATTTGCTAACTTCCAATTTGCTGGAACTGTTCTCTAGCCTGGGATATTTTATAAAATCATGCAGCAACTTCTGTTAAAGTCACTGGAAGTAAGCCATAGACCCTGGGGATGTGTCAGCTTTCAGTCCCTCTAGTCTCAGTAATACGTTTTCCCTGCTGATATTAACCACTTTAAATTCTTCAGTCATATCAATGTTTCAGTCTGGACGTGCAAGTTGTTCCAGGAACCACAAATTATTTCACTGCTAAGATCCAGCTGGATGGCAAATTTGAGCTAACTGCCCTGAAGCAAAGTCATGCTCTGTGTCTGCAGCATTTACATATACAGTGAGGGCACCAGAGACACCAGAAGCCTCTGCATTAATCTAAAGCTCATACACTTGGTGACACAATGATTTCCTGTCTTCTGAGTCTATTACATCCAAGTGACAGTTTTAACAGAGTCCTTCACTCAAAACATTAAAATCAACCACGAGGAATTACACATGATCTTGACCTGCACATCTCATATTCAAATCAAGTTCGTAATTGAGTTCTCCAGGCATACGCTCCAAATAAACACTCTTTATTAAAACCTTTCACTAACAGGGATTTGCTACAGACAAAGTGTCCACGTATATCTTTGGATAATTTTACTCCAAAGGTTCTTGTATGAAGCAACAGATAAACATGTTAAATAAAAGACGGCTGTTCATTCAAATTGCATCACCTTACACAACATATTGACTTTTTACCTGCAATATAACAGTCTTTGTTAAATCATCTGTAGGTATTGAATTACTCTGTTTAATGCATGAATTTTTACACATTAAATTCAACCATCACATGCTTTCCTTCTAGGCTTCCTGAAGACTACAAGGTGGTACATTGACTGAATTTTTGAGCACCTGTGCAGCAGTAATTGCCTTGCACCAAGTTCCCTTGAAACAGTGAGAATCCCACGGTGAGCCTGTCAGACATGAAAGTCTGAGGTATCTAATATAAGCACACATCATTGTTTATCATTGTTTTCCTAAATCCAGAGACAGAGGGAGAGACAGGGAGTAGGAGGGGAGGAGTGAGTGAGTGAGTGAGCAAGAGCGAGACAGAGAGAGTGTGCAAGACAGAGAGAGAGAAAGAGAGAAAGAAAACCATAGGCAAAGGATAAAGTTCGAGGAGGTAAATGTTCAAATCCCACCAGTGGTAGGATTTATACTCAATTAAAAACAATGGAATATAAACTAGCTCAGTAATGGCAGCCGCAAAACTATTGATTCTTATAAAAACCTATTCTGTTCACTAATGTTATTCAGGAAAGGAAATTTGCCATCCTTACTTCGTCTGGCCTACTCATGACTCCAGGCCCACAGCAATGTAGTTGAGTCTCAACAGCTCTCTGAAATAGCCACAGCAATCCAATCAGCTGAAGCGCACTTAGGGATGAGCAACAGTTGTTATCCTTACCAGCATCACCAACATCCTATTTAAAAACAAAATCCCATTACCCAAATCCCTACCTATCCCGTCTTTGATCTCCAGTCAGAACATTTCAAATAAAAACCGAGTAACGGTGAAAATATGAGTTTTCCCAAACACAAATTACCGAAAGCAAATCAGTTTGCATCATTTGGGAAGGAGCCAGGTTTTTGAGGCATTTGAGCTTCACATTAACATTTCTTAAAAGCCACTTAACCAACACCAGCTGCCAGCTTTAGAAAAGCCAGAAATACCTTAGTGTAGCTGAATGCATTTAAAGTCTTCAATGGGAATTGCTGTCCAGGTATCAACTAATCTCAGGTATAATACAAATATATAATATGACAACATCTGTTCTATTCAACAGAGATCAAATGTTTTACTGTGTGCAAGCAGTCTTCATAATTATTTCCATTGTTTGTGTTAGTATACTGTTTCTTCATTGTAACAGATTATAGCTTTCTCTCCTGCCACTAGATCATTAAGCCAAAACTATTCAACTGAGCAGATTTATCTTAAAACACAAACTGACAATGATTGCTAGACAAAAGATTTTCCAGTACTGAGAGGTGTCTCTAAACATCTGTTGTTCAAATTTGTACAATAAGATTTATTACACCCTAAAATTCTAACTTTTTTTCCTGGATGTAACATCATATGTAAAATTTGCTTTTTCTTTGATTAAGACTCTAAGTAGTGTTTTGGAATCAATCTCCTTTGATTCTTCTGTTTTGAGACTGTTTGTCTGATATCCGGTCTTTGATGAGACGCAGCTTCCTCTAATTAAACACGGGAGTGGCAGGAACATTTTGTTTAGCTTTGATTCAACTTGGATAGTCTAGTGTCAAATTTTAATCCAAACATTATATTCTTTTTGCCCATTAACTTTTTTCTTTACAACCAACATTTAAATCACAAGTGACCATCCAAAGTACAAATTCATCCTAATGGATAAATAGTGAGATGTGACAGGGCTAGAAGCGAAGCTATTTCTCTGTACCATATTGCGCAGCTGAAAACAAAATGCACATTATGTGCAATAGTAGGAAGTAAGGAGAAGATAAAACATAGGTCAGAATTCTAGCCTGATCTGAAATCAATGCAAAAGAGTTAAGTAGCTTTGGTATTTATTCACATGTCAAAATATGGCATTGTAGCAAACCAAAATTTTACATTTCCACAGAGCTAATCTGCAGGATTAGTGATTTGTGATCTGTGTATTTTAGCAGCCTATATTCAGCTCTGTTTCTCCTATAGCCCTGGAAGACTGTTTTTTCCGATCGGAGACACGAGAACATCTGTCCACTACAGTTAGATTTGCATTGTTGCTTGCAATTGATTGTTCCAGTAAAACAAGCAATTGAAAGAGCTGGTTTGTCAAAGAGGAGTGAACCTTCAACGAACTTTTAACTTCTGGCACATGAAGTAGTACTTTGAAGATCATAATTTTGTTCAAGAAGTCACAACAATTAAAATAACTTTATGCTTACCATTAGCAACACTGCAGTCATGGGAGCTGTACTCAGCAAAGCACTGGCAGCCCCATGCTGTACACTGCCCATTCCCACTGCATCGATTTGGACATCGGAGAGCTGTAACTATTTCTTCAACATCTGTTCCATGGGCCCATTTATGTCTTTTTTCCAAGAGTTTTCCTTCACACTCATTGTCAAGAAATGCCAGCAACCCTTCCTCCCAAGCAAGATCATCTTTAAGTTGCAAGTCTAAAATGCAGAGCTCCACAGCCTCAATAAGCTTTCTTCCTAGGAAGTCTTGACACACCACACCAATTGTGGAATTTCTAAGGGCTTGTTGACAAACCTCAAGGGCTTTAGCTGACGTCAATCCACTTGGAGTTGGCCATGTTGGCTGCACACCAGGCCGGTTTCCAGACAGATGGTCTTCTGGGAAAAAGTAAGTTAAGCTTTCTAGATCAGTTTGACTAAGGCTCTGGAATGTGAATATTGGTAGGTATTCATAATAATCTTGCCTTTTTACTCTACGTAATGTAATCTTTGGTTCAACAAGATCAGTTATGTCTGGCCATCGGGAATATCCCACCGACTGACCGGTAGAAATAAACAGCTGGCTTTTGGAACCAGGTGCTTGAAAGTATTTTTGCAAATCTGTATGTCCTTCTGACTTTTTAGAAGACTCAGTTACATCACGCTTTTTGAACATGGACAGTTCTGGATTGTTTATGTATTCTGCAGTAACATCCAAAAAAGGAATCACTGAAGTCAAATCCACATTGTCATATGCCTGGCAACTAGACGATAGATGAGAATGACCATATTCAGTGGTCAGCTTATTAAACGAATGGAGAGACATAGCATATTCCTTTCGACAACCGCAATAATTTCTGCGTTTTTGTCTCTCAGAGGATGGTGGTGTCTTGTCAAACAAACTTTCTCCTGGATGTACTCTATAACAAACACAGTTAAAAGATAAATATTCTTTTCAAACTACTGTTCTGAGCAACATATAAACATGTGCCTTGACAGTAGGTGCTCTATTATTACAATGTTACAATTTGTCTTGTTATTTTAGATAAAATGTGAAATTGTTACAAGGCAAAAGATTTTCTGCCTTAACTGTAAAATCAATAATGAAAGATGCATTAGCACAATAAGATCTTGTATCGATAAACACTGCACAACCATAAAGGAAGATGAAGCATCATTGCATGTATAAAAGTGATCTCAACATTCTGTAATCAAAGAATCTTAACATTTTATTTTTAAATAACAGCACAAGCAATATTAAATAACTCCAAATAGTCCAGCAGTCTATTTAATCTTTATAAACAAATCAAAGTACCAGTTAATAAAAGTAAAATACTGCTGATGCTAGAAATCTGAGACAAACACAGAGAATGCTGGAGAAACTCAGCAAGTCAGGCAGCATGTATGGAGAGACAGAAACACAGCTAACATTTCGAGTCTGATATTCTACTTTGGAACACTTCTAAATTGACTTCTGGAGTCAGGCAATTGTCCCTTGAGGACAGATTAAGTAGACCATACATATACACGCTAGGGTTTGGAAGCACGAGAAATGGTTTACTTTAAATCCAAAATTCATTCGAGGGCTTGTTGTAACAGATTGTGGAAGATATTTTCATTGGCTGGAGCACTTCAAAGTAAGTGTCACAATCTCAGAAGACTGAATGAGTAGGTCATTTAGGAATGAGTTGGGGAGACATTTCTTCATTTAAGCTGTTGTGGGTCCTTAGAAGCCTCTGTCCTGGAGAACTATGGGTGCTTAGATGTTGACCAGATGAAGAAGGTGTTAGTAAATTAATGGAGAGTCAGAGGATTGAGAGATATGGAAATGAGAAATAGGAGTCACCAGTTTATTTCTGATACAGAATCAGTTCTCTAAATGTACTTTTTGTATAAATTTAACTTCTCATAATGGGTGATTAATGTACAATTCGTTATGACTTTTATTACCCGTGCCTGTATCAACTGAATGTGTTCTTTTACCTACCACATCTTGTAAGTACTGATAAACTGCTATCACTTATGTTATACACACTTTGTATAGATTCTTAAAGTATTATCCACTGCATAACCCTCTGCATTTTGATATAGCATTGTTTAAAGTTACAAATAACTGCAATCATTCCGAACACAACAGCCACCTCAGCCAGCAGGAGGCCTCTAAAAAGCAGAGAGTCTTTTAAAAGCAACTCATCTCATTAACAACACACACACACACACACACACACACACACACACACACACACACACAGTAATTTGTCCCTGATTTAATTAGGAATTCACAATGATAAGCAAAATCTGAGACACATAGCTAATCCTGTTTCCTATCCTGGAATGAATGGTCAACAGAAGGTAACCACACATTGTACATGCCTTTCAGTTGTTTCAGCGGCGGGAGTCCGGGAGGAAGCGCGAGGGCAGCCTGGGAAGGTGAGCTTTTCAATTATAAAAGTCTTACCTCGAGTGACTCCATTTTTGGAGTAAGTGAGGTAATATATTTGGGCGGTTGCTTTACCCGAAACACTACCGAGGTAGTGTCTCCCACCCATCCTCCTCCTCTAACCAAAAAAGAAGGTTCTGAGCGCTGATTTGGTAAGGCTACTAGTTTTTTTTTTGTCTGGGAATTCAGAACAGTGGGAATGGATGTTAGGGCAGTTGTATGCTCCTCCTGTAGAATGTGGGAGGTAAGGGTCACCACTAGTGTCCCCACTGACTTCATCTGCGGGAAGTGCACCCAGCTCCAGCTCCTCGGAAACCGTGTTAGGGAACTGGAGCTGGAGCTGGATGAACTTCGGATCATTCGGGAGGCTGAGGGGGTAATTGAGATGAGTTACGGGGAGGTAGTCACACCTCAGGTACAGGAAAAAAGTAGATGGGTTACAGTCAGGGAACGGAAAGGGAACAGGCAGACAGTGCAGGGATCCCCTGTGGCCATTTCCCTCAAAAACAAGTATACCGTTTTGGATACTGTTGGGGGGGGGGACTTACCAGGGGTAAGCCATGGGGTACAGGTCTCTGGCACAGAGTCTGTCCCTGTTGCTCAGAAGGGAAGTGGGAAGAGGAGGAGAGCATTAGTCATTGCGGACTCCATAGTTAGGGGGACAGATAGGAGATTCTGTGGGAACGAGAGAGACTCGCGGTTGGTGTGTTGCCTCCCAGGTGCCAGGGTCCGTGATGTCTTGGATCGTGTTTTCGGGATCCTTAAGGGGGAGAGGGAGCAGCCCCAAGTCGTGGTCCACATAGGCACCGATGACATAGGTAGGAAAAGGGATGGGGACGTAAGGCAGAAATTCAAGGAGCGAGGGTGGAAGCTTAGAGCTAGAACAAACAGAGTTGTTATCTCTGGTTTGTTACCCGTGCCACTTGCTAGCGAGGCGAGGAATAGGGAGAGAGAGCAGTTGAACACGTGGCTACAGGGATGGTGCAGGAGGGAGGGATTCAGATACCTGGATAATTGGGGCTCATTCTGGGGTAGGTGGGACCTCTACAAACGGGATGGTCTACACCTGAACCAGAGGGGTACCAATATCCTGGGGGGGAAATTGCTAATGCTCTTCGGGAGGGTTTAAACTAATTCAACAGGGGGATGGGAACCTGAATTGTAGCTCCAGTGTACAGGAGGTTGAGAGTAGTGAGGTCATAAATAAGGTTTCAAGGTCGCAGGAGTGTACCGGCAGGCAGGAAGGTGGTTTGAAGTGTGTCTACTTCAATGCCAGGAGCATCCAGAATAAGGTGGATGAACTTGCAGCATGGGTTGGTACCTGGGACTTCGATGTTGTGGCCATTTCGGAGACATGGATAGAGCAGGGACAGGAATGGTTGTTGCAGGTTCCGGGGTTTAGATGTTTCAGTAAGATCAGGGAAGGTGGTAAAAGAGGGGGAGGTGTGGCATTGTTAGTCAAGGACAGTATTACGGTGGCAGAAAAGGCGTTTGATGACAACTCGTCTACTGAGGTAGTGTGGGCTAAGGTTAGAACCAGGAAAGGAGAGGTCACCCTGTTGGGAGTTTTCTATAGGCCTCCGAAGAGTTCCAGAGGCCACTGCTGTTTGTCATTTTTATAAATGACCTGGATGAGGGCGTAGAAGGATGGGTTAGTAAATTTGCGGATGACACCAAAGTTGGTGGAGTTGTGGATAGTGCGGAAGGATGTTGCAGGTTACAGAGGGACATAGATAAGCCGCAGAGCTGGGCTGAGAGGTGGCAAATGGAGTTTAATGTAGAGGAAAAGATTGCAAAGATGATTCTGGATAGGAGCACAAGTAACAGGGTAGTTGTTATGGGGGACTTTAACTTTCCAAATATTGACTGGAAACGCTATAGTTCGAGTACTTCAGATGGGTCAGTTTTTGTCCAATGTGTGCAGGAGGGTTTCCTGACACAGTATGTAGATAGGCCAACAAGAGGCGAGGCCACATTGCATTTGGTACTGGGTAATGAACCAGGCCAGGTGTTAGATTTGGAGGTAGGTGAGCACTTTGGTGATAGTGACCACAATTCGGTTACATTTACTTTAGCGATGGAAAGGGATCGGTATATACCGCAGGGCAAGAGTTATAGCTGGGGGAAAGGCAATTATGAGGCGATGAGGCAAGATTTAGGATGCATAGGATGGAGAAGGAAACTGCAGGGGCTGGGCACAATTGAAATGTGGAGCTTGTTCAAGGAACAGCTACTGCGTGTCCTTGAGAAGTATGTACCTGTCAGGCAGGGAGGAAGTGGTCAAGCGAGGGAACTGTGGTTTACTAAAGAAGTTGAATCTCTGGTCAAGAGGAAGAAGGAGGCTTATGTAGAGATGAGGCGTGAAGGCTCAGTTTGGGCGCTTGAGAGTTACAAGTTAGCCAGGAAGGACCTAAAGAGAGAGCTAAGAAGAGCCAGGAGGGGACATGAGAAGTCTTTAGCAGGTAGGATCAAGGAAAACCCTAAAGCTTTCTATAGGTATGTCAGGAATAAAAGAATGACTAGAGTAAGATTGGGGCCGGTCAAGGACAGTAGTAGGAAATTGTGTGTGGAGTCCGAAGAGATAGGAGAGGTGCTAAATGAATATTTTTCGTCAGTATTCACACAGGAACAAGACAATGTAGTCGAGGAGAATACTGAGATACAGTCTATTAGACTAGACGGGATTGAGGTTCATAAGGAGGAGGTGTTAGCAATTCTGGAAGGTGTGAAAATAGATAAGTCCCCTGGGCCAGATGGGATTTATCCTAGGATTCTCTGGGAAGCTAGAGAGGAGATTGCAGAGCCTTTGGCTTTGATCTTTATGTCGTCATTGTCTTCAGGAATAGTGCCAGAAGACTGGAGACTAGAAAATGTTGTCCCCTTGTTCAAGAAGGGGAGTAGAGACAACCCTGGTAATTATAGACCAGTGAGCCTTACTTCGGTTGTGGGTAAAGTGTTGGAAAGGATTATAAGAGATAGGATTTATAATCATCTAGAAAGGAATAATTTGATTAGGGATAGTCGACACGGTTTTGTGAAGGGTAGGTCGTGCCTCACAAACCTTAGTGAGTTCTTTGAGAAGGTAACCAAACAGGTGGATGAGGGTAAAGCGGTTGATGTGGTGTATATGGATTTCAGTAAAGCGTTTGATAAGGTTCCCCATGGTAGGCTATTGCAGAAAATACGGGGGCATGGGATTGAGGATGATTTAGCGGTTTGGATCAGAAATTGACTAGCTGTAAGAAGACAGAGGGTGGTGGTTGATGGGAAATGTTCATCCCGGAGTTCAGTTACTAGTGGTGTACCTCAAGGATCTGTTTTGGGGCCACTGCTGTTTGTCATTTTTATAAATGACCTGGATGAGGGCATAGAAGGATGGGTTAGTAAATTTGCGGATGACACCAAAGTTGGTGGAGTTGTGGATAGTGCGGAAGGATGTTGCAGGTTACAGAGGGACATAGATAAGCTGCAGAGCTGGGCTGAGAGGTGGCAAATGGAGTTTAATGCGGAAAAGTGTGAGGTGATTCACTTTGGAAGGAGTAACAGGAATACAGAGTACTGGGCTAATGGTAAGATTCTTGGTAGTGTGAATGAGCAGAAATATCTCGGTGTCCATGTGCATAGATCACTGAAAGTTGCCACCCAGGTTGATAGCATTGTTAAGAAGGCGTACAGTATGTTAGGTTTTATTGGTAGAGGGATTGAGTTTCGGAGCCATGAGGTCATGTTGCAGCTGTACAAAACTCTGGTGCGGCCGCACTTGGAGTATTGCGTACAGTTCTGGTCGCCGCATTGTAGGAAGGATGTGGAAGCATTGGAAAGGGTGCAGAGGAGATTTACCAGGATGTTGCCTGGTATGGAGGGAAGGTCTTATGAGGAAAGGCTGAGGGTCTTGAGGCTGTTTTCGTTGGAGAGAAGAAGGTTAAGAGGTGACTCGATAGAGACATACAAGATGATCAGAGGATTAGATAGGGTGGACAGTGGGAGCCTTTTTCCTCGGATGGTGATGGCTAGCATGAAGGGACATAGCTTTAAACTGAGGGGTGATAGATATAGGACAGATGTCAGAGGTAGGTTCTTTATTCAGAGAGTAGTAAGGGTGTGGAATGCCCTGCCTGCAAAAATAGTAGACTCGCCAACTTTAAGGGCATTTAAATGGTCATTGGATAAACATATGGATGATAATGGAATAGTTTAGGTTAGATGGGCTTCAGATTGGTTTCACAGGTCGGCGCAACATCGAGGGCCGAAGGGCCTGTACTGCGCTGTAATGTTCTATGTTCTATGTTCTATGCCTCACTCAGCCAATACGAATCTAATCATGCAGTGTCTGGACCAGAATTCAGAGATACCAGTGGTCATACTGCACGTGTGATTTGGAAAGGGTTAATAAGGCCTGATTTTCAGTGGTACAGTGTGCAAATAGCAGAATGAGGAATAATTTTGGAAGAGACAGCACCCAGCCATCTGAGAATTGGTATTCCATTGTGAATCTGTTGAGGCCACATGCCTTGTTCAATGTCATTTCCATCGTACTTGGTTTGATAACTTAATAAATTTGTGAACCTTGTTTACCCACACTCATAGCTGGGGTGGTTTCACATTTGGTCGGATCCTGACTCTTACAATTGATGTTAAATTGGATTTCAGAATCCTACAGAGGGAAGGCTGAGTTGATACAGAAGTTCAGCCATGATTCTATTTAAAGGTGGAGACAGCATTAACAGTGAATAGCTTCCTCTTGCTGCTATTTCTCAAGCCATTGTGTTCTTAGCGGAAAAATGAAAAAGTCTAAAATTAGGGTTAGTATTTAACTGAAACTTTTCAAAATGAAAGATATGTATGGAGCAGGCAGCATATAACCACAAATTATTCTTTCTTGATGGTTTGATTATTTCCAGTAGTGACAAGGTGGAACAAGTCAACAACAGTCAGTCTCCAACACAAGTAGTATAATCCATCACTTTATACTATGTCAACTTCCATTTTCAATTGACATTGCATTATTTTTGCGAAATCAAAAATGGTATTTTGGTCTAATGCATACCTCCATTCCTCGATGAAATCGTCAGGGGCATTATTCCAATATGCAGCTGCCAATGGAACCCCATCGGCACCATGGAAGTCATTATTACTGTTTCGGTCAAAGATTCCACAGAGACCTCTTGTATTGTTGAAATCTATGCTGGGAGCCCGTACTGTTATGCTCATTCCCCAGTCACTTACATCTGAACGAACAAATGCTCCTGACGGGAACATGATCTATTGAAACAGATACCCAAAAAGTCAAAATAAATAACGAAATATGACTTAATGCTTTAAGTACATTAGCTTATTTTATTAAGTTACTGTTTTAAAAAAATGGAAAATACATTCGGAAAATGTGAACACATTGCAGTTTCTAGTATAATACTTCAATAATATTAAAAGAATGAAACCACTTTTTAGTCAAATGTCATCATAGAATTCCCTGAAATTTCTGTTCACTGTTAAAAGGATTGTTTTCTTCCTCCTTTGTATCTAATCACAAGTTTTGAAATAGTAGAAGAGTACAGCTAATTCTTGTTAGAGCAGACTGTACTATCTTCTGGAGACTATTATGTGGTATTATGGACTAAGAATATTTTGTATATCCATTGGGTTGTATGCCATTTGAAAAATATACAAGAATAGGCGACACATTTATAGGATATAGAGGCCTTAAATATTTATTAAAATAGATTTGCTATTAATATTCAATCATATATAAATGTTAACTTCTTTCAACTAATTAATATTCCTCAACGCATTATCTAGCAGAAAATACTATGTGAAATTTTGAAAGAAGTTAAGAAATTTTTGGTCAAATTTAAATTTTACTAAATTTGAAGTGGTATTCCTGTTATTTTTAAAGTTCACTGTAAGGATTTGTGACATAACATTTGAAGTGCAAATGAGTTTTCAAACTGCAGTCCGTACAGATACTCTTATGTTTTTTCATTCACTCCATAAATAGTTTATACTCTTTGCATTTGCTTTTATAATGAGATGCAATTTCAGACTTCCATTCAGTTTAATGTTGATCAGCATAGAGTCCAAATAGACAAGTTTTTTTTTACTCTTCTTTGTACAGGGCGTCAAGAAATTACTTTAACTTTACCAATTTAATCTGAGAATGTCATGTTATGGCTGTACCTATTAGACTAAATTAGTTTTGCAATTTTAAAAGGTGTTATAATGCCCAATAAGGAGATCATTGTGTAACCTAAGTAGCAAATATGAATTATGTACTAGAAGTGCTAACTATACTTACTTCATTACAATCTAGAATTAAAGACACAAAGAATAGGATTAAAAAATGCCACAGATAATACAAATTTGATGGTACATAATCGTAATAGCAATTAATAGTTGTTCAAAATGTGATGGTTTCAAATGGAGAAAAACTGCAGAAAGCTACAACTCTAAGGGACTTGGGGGTATTTGTGCATGAAACACAGTAAGCTAACACACAGGTGCAGCCGTTAATCAGGAAGACTAATAGAATGTTGGACTTTATTTCAATAGGGGTGGAGTATAAGAATAGGGAAGTCTTACTGCAACTGTACAAGGTGCTGGTGAGGCCACATCTGGAGTACTGTGAGCAGTTTTCGTCCCTTTATGTAAAGAAATAAATCATTTCATTGGAGGCAGTTCAGAGAAGGTTCACCAGGATGATCCCTGGTATGGAGGTTTGTCTTCAGGTTGGGATTCTACTCACTAAAGTTTAGAAGAATGAGAGGTGATCTCATTGAAACATACAAGATTCCTAAAGGGCTTCACAGGGTAAATGCTGGGATGATGTGGCCCCTTGTGGGAGAGTGTAGGGTCAGAAAGCAACAGTCTCAGAATAAAGAGGCACAAATTTAAGGCTGAAATAAAGAGGAAATTCTTCTCTCAGAGGGTTGACAGTCTTTGGAACTCCTTGCCACAGTGAGCTGTGGGATCCTTGTCTATATATAAGGCTGAGATAAATAGATTCTTGATAAGTGGGTGAATCAAGGGTTTTTGGAAAAGGACAGGAAAGTGGACATGAGGAATGTCGGATCAGTCATGAACTATTGAATGGTGGAACAGACTTGAGGGGCTGAACAGCCTACTCCTGTTCCTATTTCCTATTGTCTTATAGATGAGGGCAGGAAAGGCATGGTAGTTAAATTTGCCAATGGCACCAAGACAGTGGAAAGTATGTTATGAAGAATATGTAGGAGGTTGTAAATGATAAGGGAAAGATTAAATGCATGATTTTTTTTCTCTCTGAGGTTTACGTGACTTTGCAACTTTCTGCAAATGGAGACAGGGTCATTAAAGTTTGTTGAGACATTAGGTATTGTTTTGCAGGGGACATCAAAGATTATCGGGGGTAGATGGGAATGTGGAATTCAAAAGACAAACTAATGAAGTCTTGATATTATAGAATGGGGGAAGCAGGTTTGAGGATGCTGCAGTTTTGTTTTTATCTAAGCAATAAAATCAAAAGTACATGAAGATCAACAATTGAGTCACGATTTAAAACTGAAGTACACACAGTGATCTTCTTTCCTTGGTGTGCGTCCATTATTTTGATATGATGTGGTTCTGGTCCACTGCTTTTCACTGACAAATGAGGCCTGGTTTCTTGAAAGTGCCCGTTGCACATGTCAAATGCAATGATGTCATCACCCTCCCTGGCAACCACTCCACAGTTACATGATACAGCATAGTGGCGGCTGCCACAATCCCACTGACGCACATGAACTTCAAATTCTCGCAAAAGGCTCTTGTACAAAATAAAAGTCCCAGTTTTATGGTTGTCATAGCGTCTGCAATAAAATGACAAATGCATTAACCCAATGGATACCTCCCTGAATTAATACAAATTAATAGAATGTTAACAATCTTACAACCTGCAGAATTGCATACTTTGGGGATGTGTCTTTAATTTGAAGTCAAATTAAAAGGTCACGTGACCTGTCCTGAAGTCATGTTTAAAGGGCTGTCCAGGCTGTCTTTCCAGAAGGTATTACCACTTGAGTACAATAGCATCAACCTGTGCGCTAACAGTGTATAGAATCTAAATCTCCAAAGTGCCAGTACTGTCGAGATTGTTTAGTTTTAATAGTTATATTTATACTGTCCATTTATTTCTGCAATAAAAGACAGTTAAGCACAAGAATGTCCAATCTGCATTTCTACTTGGATACAACAGATGCAGGTGGGTACTCGAACTTGGATTGAAAAAGGAGCATTTTGAGCAAGGTTTGATCTTAAGATCCAAGAGCAGAAGTAGCTCAATCAGCCATCAAGACTGCTGCACCATTCAATGAAAGCATGTCTGATCTTACAGACTTCAGCTTCACTTACTTATCTTTTCCCCATAACCCTTGGTTCCCTTACTAATTAAATATCAGTCTCTCTCAACCTTGAGTATTCTTAACAATCTAGCCTCTACAGCCCACTGTATTTTTCTCTGAAAGAAGGAACTCCTTCTCATCTCTGTCTTAAATGCCTCTTACATTGAGATTGTGCTCTCTGGTTCTAGACTCTCACACAAGAGGAAACAAACTCTCTTTGTCTACCCTGTCAAGCACCCTTAGATTTTTGTATTCTTATAATATTTCAGTAAGGTCTACTCTCATTCTTGTGAACTTCAATGGGTATAAGCCTAACTTACTCAACCTCTCCTCATAAGAAGATTCATCCATAGCCAGGAACCCTGTGAACCTTCTGTGGACTGCTTCCAATGGCAATATATCTTTCTTTAAACAAGGGGACCGAAACTATTCCAGGTGTAGTCTGCCTAGTGCCTTGTATAATTTTAGCAAGGTTTCCCTATTTTTATACAGTACTGATTACCATAGTTACGGAAGGACGTTAACACTTTGGAAGCAGTTCAGAGAAGGTTTACTTGACTGATACCTGGAATGAGCCTTAGGAGGCAAAGTTAGACAGGCTGGGCTTGTATCCCCTGGAGATTAGAGGAGTTCAAGATGACTTAATTGAAAAATATAAGATCATGAGGGGACTTCACTTGATGGATGTTTAAAGCATGCTTCCTCTTGTGGAAGAATCTAGAACTAGGGATCCTGGTTTAAAACTGGGATAAGAAAACTTTTTTTTCTCTCAAGAAAGTTGTAAGAGTTTGGAATTCCCTTCCTCAAAAGTGCAGCATTTTGAAATATTTCCAAGACAAAGGTAGGTAGAATAGCAGGGGATGAAAAATTATCAGGGATATACAGAATGTAGAGTTGGGGTTAAAATTAGGTCACCCATGATCTTATTGAATGGTGATGCAGGCTGAAAGGGCCGAGTGGCCTATACTTGATTGTAGGTTTGTATACTCCATTCCCTTGAAATAAAGGCCAACAGTCCATTTGCTTTCTCTATTACCTGCTGAATTTGGGTGCTAGCCTTTTGTGATTCATGATGGAGGACCCCAAATCTCTGTGCTGCAGCTTTCTTCAGTCTCTTTCCAATTAAATAATATTCATCTCTTATAAACCTCTGTCAAATTGCATTACCTCTCATCTTCCAACATTATATTGCAATATGGCATTTTTTTTACCCTCACACAGCCTGTCTACATCCCTCTGCAGACTCTGCAATTATTTTTACTAACTGCCGTTACACCTATTTTCATGTCATTCGCAAACTTGCTGTTAGTACATTCACTTCCCTTGTCATTTAAATATAAATAATTATGGTCCCAGCACTGATCCCTGTGAACTCCACTAGTTGCAGGTTGCCATTCCCAAAATGCCAACTTTCTGTCTTCTATTAGTTAGCCAATCATCTATCCATGCTACTATTCCTCCTTCAACACTCTTACGAGTTCTTATCTTATAAGTAGCCTTATTTGTGGTAACTTATCAAATGTCATTTGGAAATGTAAATATATTACATCTTCTGACTCTCCTTTATCTATCATGCTTGCTAACTCCACAATGAATCCAATCAATTTGTCACTGGCTCCAGGGAAGGGTAGGCTCTGAGTAAAAACCAACGTTTCACTCAAATCTGTCAGTTTTCCCCATTGAGTGGATTGTAAAAACCAGCATTCTCCCTGAGCATGTGGATTCCCACAACGTGACATGGGTTAAAATGGTCCTCGTCAGTGTTATCTCTCTGTCTCTCACTTTCACTGGAACCTGATGTATGAACAATCTGAACCACTGCTCACCATAAGCTCTCTATTATTGCTTACTAGATTCATTGCCACCATCCTATTTAAGTGTGGGGATCTATAGGGCTTTATTCTTCTCATATGGTAGAGGAAAATCAGTTGATAGTCTAACCAGGAGGTTCTGAGGAAGGGTCACCGGACCCAAAACGTTAACTTTGTTTTCTCCTTCACAGATGTTGCCAGAACTGCTGAGCTTTTCCAGCAACTTTGTTTTTGGTTCTTGGCTTAACTAGTTTAGTGTCTGATAGCAACAAGGTAAAAACTCTTTATAACTATGTTTATGTATTAATACACAAGAAAGCCCTCTTTGAGATCCCAAGCTGGTACCTGATAACAGTGGTCGACGCATAAGACACTCAATCATATAGTACAGAAGATGCTTTTCTGCCCATCAAGTCTATATCGTAAAAACTACACCGAATCTGCACTATTCTCATTTTCTAGCACTAGGCACATTGCATTAAATGTTATGACATTTCAAGTGCTCATCCAAGTACTTTTTAAAACGTTGTGAAATTATCTGTCTCAACTCCCAGGCAGTGCATTCTAGACCCTCACCATCCTGTGGGTAGGAAGATTTTCCTCAAATCACCTCTAAAGCTCCAGCCTTTCACCTTAGAAGTGTATCACTTTGATATTGATCCTTCATTTAAGGAGAGCCAGCACTTTATAGCTACCCTGTCCTTCCCCCTCATAAATTTATATACCTCTATCAGGTTTCCCCCCACCCTTTTCTGATCCAAAGAAAGCAACCCAAGATTATACAGTCTCTCTTCATAGCTAAAGCACTCCATCCCAGGAAACATGATGGTGAACATCCTCTGTCACTTCACTGAAATCCCATCCTTCCTACGGTGTGGTGACCAGAACGACACACAGTATTCCAGCTGTGGCCTAACCAAAAGTTTTGTACAGCTCCAAATAACCACCCTGCCTCGACTGACAAAGACAAGTATCCCGTATGCTTTCTTAGCGATCCCTATAAACCTGCCTGCCACCTTCAGGGCTCTGTGAACCAACCCCTCAAGATCCCTCTGTTTTTCTGAGGTTCCTAGTGTCCTACCATTCATTGAATATTTCATTGTCTTCTTATTTTGCATCAATTCACATTTATAAGGGTTAAATTGCCTCTGCCACTGATCTGTTCATCTGACCAAACCATTTACATCTTTCTGTAAGTTTTTCCTCACTGTCAACCACCTAACCAGTTCTCGTATCATCTGCAAAAATATTTATCATCCCTCCCACATTCTCTTCTATATTATTTATATTTAGGGGCCTAATGCTGATCCCTGCAATATGCCATTGGACACTAGTTTTCAATCACACAATCAGTCTTCAACTATCACCATCTGTCATCTATCACAAAGCTAATTTTGGATCCTACTTGTCAAGTTCCCCTGGTTCCCCTGTGTGTTTACCTTCTTTATTAGTTTCCCATGTGGGACCTTGTAGTTTACATGGATTTCAGCAAAGCCTTTGACATCAACTACACTATCCTCATCTATACACCAGGACACATCCTCAAAAAATTCAACCAGATTTGTTCAGCATGACCTTCCTTTGACAAAGCCACGCTAACTATCCTTCATCAAACCTTGCCTTTCCAAATGAAGATTAATTTCTCCTTCAGAATTTTCTCCAATAGTTTCCTTACCATTCTGTGATCTGTAATGCCCTGGTTTATTTCTAACACCCTTCTTCAGAAGTTTAATCACATTAGATGTCATCCCGTCATAGAATCACAGAATCCCTACAGTGTGGAAACAGGCCATTCAACCCAACAATTCCACACCGACACTCCAAAGAGCATCCCACTCAGACCTATTCCTCTACCCCTGACTTCCCATGTCTAACCCACCTAACCTAAACATCACTGGGCACTATGGGCAATTTAGCCTGGCCAATTCATTTACCCTGTGGTAGCGGCACCCATTGCTCAGCATTAACTTTTCAGACCATTGCCATCTTGTGTAAGAGTATCTGTTTCTCTCTCCCCTCAGTGCCATTCCTGAATTTAGTTGCTTTTGCAAATGAAAGTGAATCTGGTCACTGCACTGTGCATGCAGGAACTGTTTTCTTGAGAAATCCCAGCTGCTGCACATCACTTCTAATAGCAGCAGCTCGACATTGGTAGGGATGAGAGAGAAAGCAGAAAGAATTTTGTCCTCCAGACTGTTAGCAAATCTGACTTCCCACCTTGTTATATCCATCGTGTGATGTGTAAATTCTGCTACAAATATCAGTAATAAAATCTTCTGACAACTTTATACATCCATCTCTTGCAGTTTCTAGGCAACTTACATAAAGCCTAGCTTTCAGTACCTGTGTCTGCTTCTTCATTGCGTTCCCATCTGAACCCTTACACCAGCAATTCCCTCTCTGATAATTACAATTTAATCTCTGGCAGACATGTCACTACCATACTAACTTTTAATACTTTTCAAAAGAAAAATAACCATGGGCAAATCTTTTAATTGAGTATACAGCCATTGTAACTTTAATTCCTCCTTCCCAGATTTTCCCCTGAATTCCACTAAGATGCAGAGTTTAATTGAACGTGCAGCACCTAACACTCCTGACTTACTGTCTGGCTTGCTGTCTGGTTTACCTACTTATTTTTAACATAATTCACCCTTT